TAAATATGAGGGGTAATAACTTCTTTTGTTATTAATTCATCATATTAATACATTTAGGAAGAAACATCTTTATTTCTGTAGATGCCAGAAATGCATTTGAAAAATCCAACATCGATTCCTGATTTTTTAAAAACTTAATAAAATAGGAATAAATGGGTATTCGTCAAACAAAATTGTGCACACACAAAATACTTGATCAGTTTCTACTAAAACCAGCATTTAAGTAAAACACTTGCAACTGTGGCTATTGCTGTGTAACACTGTGTTGGCAAAATTAATTACCACATTCACTTAGGAGAAAATAGTTAGAAGCATAAGATGCTGGAAAGGAAGTAGGAAGGTTGTTTCTGTGTGCAGATGATGTGATAGTGTATGTTGAAAAGCCAAGAGAATCAGTCCTGGCCAGGTAGCTCAGTTAGGTCATCCCAATACACCAAGGTTGTGGGTTTGATCCCCAGTCAAGGCACATACAAGAATCAACCAATGAATGCATAAATAAGTGGAACAACAAATCGATGTTTCTCTCTCTCTCCCTCTCTCTAATAGCAATACATTTTAAAAAAAAGAAAAGCCAAGAGAATCAATAACAGAGCATCTCTACAGAAGATTGAGTGAAATAGCAGGATATAAAATTAGCAAACAAAAAACATTGCTTTCTATACATAAACACAATAATGAAAGTAATGGATAATTGAAAATATGGTGGAAGAGAAGCCTCCATTTCCAATAATATAAAAAAGATGAAATATTTAAGAAATATGCCAACGCTAAAGAGAAAACATTCCTGGAAAACAGAAGTAGACTTAAACAGATGGGTAGACTTTTCCTATTTTATGTTTATGAATAGAATAACAACATTACAAAGATTTCACTTATTTCCACCTTAATGTATAAGTGAATTCCAGTTCCAATAAAGTTTTTCTTTCCTGTCACTAGACAAGTAGATTCTAAAGGTCATTTGGAAAAATAAATAAGAACAACAAGGAGACCCCTATAAAATAAGTGATGAATCCAAACCCCACCAGATTTTAAACTACAAAGCCTCTATAATTAAAACTGAGGGCAGGGGGGTATATGAGGATTCTCTCTACTTTCTATTCAGTCTTGCTGTGAACTTAAACTTCTCTAAGAAATAAAGTCTGTTATAAAAACAATTGTAGGGTATGATATGTGGACGTATTAGCCAATAGAACAGAATAGAATGTCCACAAATTATAGAAATTTAGACTCTTATAAAAGTAGCATCTGAGATCACAGAGGAAAAGGTATGGGACAACTGGGTAGATGTTTGGTAAGAGGTAAAATTGGCCTATACCCTACACTGTATTCCAAGATAAACTACAAATAGGTAAAATCTTTTTTCTTATATTTTAAAATAATTTCAGACTTGTGAAAAAAGTACAAAGAATTTTCATATACCCTTCACCCAAATTCCCTAAATGTTATTTGTTATGTGCTTTGTCATTCATTCATTCTCCCTTTGAAACATTTGCAGGTAAGTTGCAGATATAATGTCCCTTTACCTATAAATACCTCAGTGCTATTTCCTAAGAACAAGAATGTCTTAGTCTGTTCAGCCTCCTATAACGGAATACCCTAGACTAGGTGACTTATAAACAACAGAAATTTATTTCTCACAGTTCTGGAACTGGAAGTCCAAGATCAAGGTGTGGCACATTCAGTGTCTGTGAAGGCCCACTTCCTGGTTCATAGATGGCAGTCTTTTTGCTGTGTCATTGTGTGTTGAGGGAGCTCACAGTGACTCTTCTCTAAGGACACTAATCCACTTCATGAGGATTTCACCCTCTTGCTCTAATCCTCTCCTGAAGGCCCCACCTCCTACTACCTTCACACTGGGGATTAGGATTTAACATATAAATTTTGGAGAGACACAAACATTCATCTATAGAAAAGAACATTCTCATATAATCAGAGTACAGTTATCAAAATCAGGAAATTAACATTAATGAAATGTACTACTTTCTAATATATAAGCCTTATTCAGACTTCACCAGTTGCCCCACTAAGCCCTTGTCTTGCTCTATAGCCCAGCCTGTGGTTACACATTGCAGTTAGTTGTCATGTTAGTTTAATCTGGAAGAGCTCCTCAGTCTTGCTTTGTCTTTCTTAATCATGACATTTTTGAAGAGTACAGGCTCCTTTTGTAGAATGTCCCTCATATTAGGTTTGTCTGACGTTTTCTCATGATTAGATTCAGAGTATACATTTTTAGCAAGCATACCACAGAAATAAAGCTGTATCATTGACTGTACCACATTAGGGACTGTTACCTTTAGCCATCACTTAAGGTGGTATCTGCCAAGTTTCTCCATTCTGTAAGGGTACAGTTTGCTTTGTAATTAACAAGTATTCTGGTAGACTCAGGTACACCACACAGACCCCCCTTGTTCAGTTGTGTCAAGTGTAGTCAGCAGACAGCTGTCAGCTCTTTGATCATGATTCTCCTCACCCAAGGCCACACCCTTCTTGGAGTAGCCAGTATCCTGTACCTGAGTGAGAACTACTCAGCTCGATTACTTCAGATCTCCAGCCTACTTCAGGCTCCAACCAAGGTTTCCATAGGCCTGCACTGCAGGTAGACTTTCCCCCTCTGCTGCCTCCCCTTACTTTCACAAATTTTGATCCCCAGTAAATACTTTGTACCCCACACTCAGTTTTAGCACCTGATTCCAGAGAACCTGAGACAGTATCTTTGTGGGGAAATATATTTGTGGTGAAATCTTTTCTGGATTTCTAGCACTTAACTCTTTTTAGCATTTTTGAAGATTCTTGCTTGAAACAGTTATTACTGTGCTGGTTGCCAAATGGTGATTTTTCTAATTCTATGATTTCTTCTATTTTAGTTAGAATTCTGTAAGGAGGAGGTTTCCCTCCTTTCCATTTTTTTATTGATCCATTCACTTATATCCACATGTTCTCATGGATTCTTTTTTTTAAAAATATGTTTTTATTGATTTCTGAGAGAGAGAAAGGGGGGGGGAGAGAAACATAAATGATGGGAGTCATTGATCAGGGAGCGTGATCCTGCATGCCCCCTACCGGAGATTGAGCAGGCAACCCAGGGTATGTGCCCTGACTGGAAATCGAACTGTGACCTCCTGATTCATCAGTGGATGCTCAACCCCTGAGCCACGCTGGTCCGGCGCATGGATTGTTATTTTATGGGTTATAATCTTATTTATTTCATTGCTCAGATTGCCCCAGGTTTGGCCAATAGGATCTGTTTCAATTTGGTTTCTCTGTCCTTTTGATATGTTCCCCTCATTTGTTTCTTCCTTACTTTCTGGTACCATGTGATTTTTAAGGTTTATCTGGAATCTGCCATTTCAAAGTGGACCAAACCTGAATGTAAAAAATAAAAACATTCAAGTACTATAAGAAAATATGAGTGGATGATGTTATAATCAGAGAGTGGAAAGCTATGACATAGATAGTTCAGAGTTAAAGAAAAAATGAAAGTGGCTCATAAACTTATGAAAAGATGTTTACTCACTTATAAGATAAATGCAAAGTAAACTTACCCTGCAATACCAAAAGTGTGAAAACACTTTTTGGGTAGACTGGAGAAACAGGCAATCTTATGCATTGCTGGTAGGAGTATAAAATGGTACAACCCCTGTAACAGGGATTTTGGGGATAAATAGATTTACTTTTGGTCTAGTAATCCCACTGTTAGGAATTTATACTAAAATAAACCTCCACAAATAACACATGCATAAAATTATTCATTGCCACATTGTAACAGCAGAAGATTGGAGACAACCCAGATGTCTATCAATAGAGGCCTGATCAGTTACTGGAACCCCCACACAATGGAGTATTGAGTATTGTGCAGTGCTTTACAAACAAGCCATGATTGTGTCCATGTACTCATGTGGAGTGATGAAAAAAGCAAGGTGTGGAATGGTTCATAAATAGAGAAATTAGAAATACAGGGTGGATAAAAGTAGGTTTATAGTTATGAGTATGGGAAACACAGAGTTTATTCTTATATTATTATTTATTAATGTATTACATATAAACAACTCTAAACCTACTTTTGCCCCACCCTGTATATACTTACTTGCTTATTTTGCTAAAAGAAATGTTAGAAGGGTAAAACAGACACTAATAAAAATGATTATTTGGGGTGAGAAATGAAAGCCAGGCCTTTTTGAGTACCTCTTTCTAGAGTTTTGACTTTTAAACCATTGATACCTTATATATATTGAAAAAGATAAAATTAAAACAAAGAATGGGGGTTGAAGCAAACTTTTTTTGTACAATTTGAAATCATGAAATAAATGCACTTTATTTTTTAATTATTTTTTTTCTTTTTTTTTTTCTTCTTTTAAAATGAACTTAATTTTATATAAAGTTGATACTATAACTACACACAGGAAAGAATTTTTTCAAGTGACTTTTGAACATGGTACTTTTAGTGGGGTTTAGTTTAAAGCCAACACAAATAAAATTTAAAAGTTGCAAAGAAATCTTAAACCACTATGCATTTTTAAAACTATTTTATGTATGTTTTAGGATAAACCAAATAAGTGAATTAATTAGGAACTAAGATCTTCATTGTAAAAGCAAAAAGATACAAATATGATACCAAAGAAATTATGGAAATTTCTATAGAGATACATTACAGGCTAATTAGATAACTGAGTGCCATGCCATAGAGAGTCCTGTTCATTCTGTAGGTAGCATTAAGGAAAAAGCTAAAGAAACATCACAACTGTAAACATATGGACACACTTAAAATGAACAAAGTTCTGAAAAAAAATGTTTAATGTGATTGCAGTGTTAATGATGAAGAATTTGAATTTTAGCTTTAGTGTTTTTTGAGTGCAATTCTGAAGTTGCATTAGTGTTTACATTTTATAACTAAAGTTTATTTTTATGAAAATGATATTAAGATGAATAGTCAACCTGCAATAAAATTTATGTACAAAATTTTAAAGTATATTTATTCACTTTTTTTTTCTTTTGTATTCTAGTTACTCTTTCTGGAAATGGAGAAAACGGTAAGACACTTTTAGTCTCAATTTAAGTAGATTATTTATGGTATCATAATTGCAACCCACATACTTTTTATTTAGTGATGACTATTTGTGATTTTGTTTTCAGAAAGACAATATATATTTTTTAAGTTTAAGTAAATAAAATGAGATGTAATACTGGATTTATTTCTATACATTCAATACATTCTTGTTTGCATTTTTTGTAAGTTCTTATTTTGTAAGGTACCTAGTAGTTGTTATTTTGTAAGGCGCCTAGTACCCAAACTTCTTTGATATACTTTTATACATATTTCTGCCTTGTATGTTCTTCAGAACTCTGTAGTAATAGTTTAGATATTTAATATCAGTTCTAGCTAGGGTAGAGGAAGGGATTTTATTTTCTTTTGTTTATGCATTTGTTAAAAATAGTACTTCACTACTCAAAAACATTTAAATAGCTAGACCGTAAATTTGTAAATTGTATTACTAGTTCATTTTGAAAGGGAATTAAAGGTTTTCTAATGACTAGCCAAAGACAATGTCTAGAGGGAAAAATATTTGCTCAAAATTCACTGAGATAAAATAAAATTTTAAGTCTATTGAGATCAAATTTCAAAAATAAAATTTGATTTGAGATATGGAAATCCAGAGGATTTCTAGAACAGTTGAACAGTTAGAAATTAATTATCCTGAAATTCCCACTCTCTGTTTCCCCATACCAGCAATTTTCCATAGAAACTACAAACAGATATAAGCTCAACCTCTAGAGATGATTGGAGTCTATCTTCCTTCTTTGGGAATTATCCTTATTACTAGAAATGTCCTTATTACTGGAAATAATTAGGCATTAATTATGTAAATCTCAAGTTGCCTTTCAGTTTGATTTCTCAGTAACAGTAATAGACTCAATCTTGGTAGGCGTGTTTTTCTTCCTTTAAATCAAAGCTCTTTCCCATATGTTGAATGCGCACATACAGAAAGCAAAGAATTTCTGAAGTTTTTACAACAGAACTTTTAACTTGTATCATTATTTCTCATTATTTCTTGGGGCTGTTTTCCCCACGTCTTCCAAAGAGTGTTTTGATGAAGTTTTTTGTTTGCTTATTGACTTGTCCATAATTCAGTTATTTGAGTCAGACTTTCTGATTTATAGATTCAGTTTTTCTTTCAGCTTTTATTTAATTTGCTTAGTTAACTTTTGCTGTATATATTTCTTCTGGCATATATATGACCAGAAGTTTGTTATTAGCAATTGAATTAATTCAAACTTATTTAAAATCAATATTTTCTATTATTCTTTACATCATAATTTTGATGCTGGAGTGGGGGAGTCCCTAGTAGCAACTTGAACCCAGACCCAAGAGGGTTTTGGGCTTCGAGCAGGCAAGAATTCAAGACTAGAGCCAAACAAGAGGTTAAAGTGGAAAAGCTGGTTTTATTGAGCAGAGGGGACAAGCAAGAAAAGCCACTCCCAGACACAGTAGTGGACCCTACTCCCCAAAGAAGAAAGATAGACCCCAACCATCTAGAGGTTGAGCTTCTGTTTGTAGTTTCTATGGAAAGTTGCTGGTATGGGGAAATAGAGAGTGGGAAAAAGTTGAGATTAACTTTAACCTTTACAGGGTATAGTTTGTGGCATTGTATTTTCCCTTTATGGTATGGGTAAACAATAAGATTTGCGTGAGTAGCTGTTAATCAATCTTTGCAGGAATTTTCTTTGTCTGGAGGCTCTTCCTGATCCGCTTGCATCTCTGGTCAGCTGGGTTTCATGTCAGGCAGCACGTTGCAGTCCCCTGACTTAACTTTATTTGACTTTAGTTAATTTATATAGTTCTCATACCCCTCTCCTATATAAATTTGATAATAACAATAATCTGTTAAGTACTTACTATATTCCTGGCATTATGCTGAGAGATTTATTTTACTGAGGGTTACGATTTTTTAAAACAAAAGCCATTTTGTTTTTGTTCTTATGGAGAGGAGAAATATTCTAAAAATATGTTAAATGTTTTAAAAAATATTTTAGAGTATATTGTTTTACATCCTCGCCTTAGTTGTAAGTAACTAAATGATCAAGACATTTAAAGTAACTGTAGGTTACCATTTATTTCAAAGCTGTATGATAGTATGTAGATGAGGACTGATAAACTTCACTGAATATCAGACCCGGCAAAAGTATAAATAAGTGAAGTGAGCTAGGTGAAGATGACAGTTGGTCTAACAGTAGGAGACTGAGCTCCAGTATGCTTTTCCAAAGGAAAAACAAATAAAGGAATGAATGATATTGAATCCACTGGGTAAACCATGGGGTTCAACCTGTAGGGAGCTGAAATGATACAAAATGCTGATTTTGAGAAACTAGGATTTTCAATGAGGATGACAATCAGTTTTAATTGAAGTAAAAAGAAATTTGAACGTAGGAGGAGGTTGTAGTTAGGATTTTATCTTGGCATCAGATGTTGGCTTTGAAGTAGGCTGTAACCACTGTTGTTGCTAGAGGTAGACTGGTCTCGAAATAGGTTCTTGCTAAGTTGCAGGAAATTAATTTTGGGGACTCATGCATAAGAGGATTTGGGCAATAATGGGTAGATTTAGTGGAAGGGTGGGCCAGGCATAGATGCCCCTGAAGGGGCTCCTGCACTGCCTCATCCATGACCAGATGGCTCAGCTCCGTCTTGCCGTGGAAGAAGTCCAGCGTCTGGGGCCACCGGCCTGAACTTGTCCCCATCAAGCCCAGGAGGAAGGCCAGGACCCAGAGCTGCCGTGCCATTAGCCCAGCATCCAAGGCTCCAGTAGTCCCACTCTCTGTTCCCCTCTGGCCTGTGATTGCGCTTTGGCGTGGCGGCTGAAGAGAGACTGCATGAGCCGAGACTTGGACCTTTATTAAGCTTTGATTAGATTTTCTTGGATTTAGGAAGGGGTAAACTTTCTTTCAAATCATCTAATCTCTTCCTCCTGGATCTTCCTGCTGCTGTGCTGGTGCAGCCTCCTGTCCAATCCCTTTTCTAGGTTTTTCTCCTTCCCTTTAGGGCTGCCATTTTTGCTCCTACTGAGCATGCTTTCGTAGTAAAAGAACCTCCCCCTGACCATCTTGCCTTCTGCTGCTTTTACCTCAGCAGAGGAATTTCCCCTTACTGTTTAACCCATTGGAGGAGGGTGTGGCTGTCCCCTGGAGTGTCTATGAAGCTGTATGCTCCTTCCTCTTTTGTTAATACCTAACTAGCTACTTAATGCTAACACCTAGGTGATGGTTCAAGAAGTGGAGGAAATATAACTTTAGGTGTGACATAGTGAAAGGAACCTTGGATTTTTATCAAGAAGATAGGGGTTTGAATCTGGGTTTCTCATTTAGTAGCTAAGTGAAATTGGGCAAGATATTAAATAAATTCCCCAAGCCTCAGTTTTTACATTGTAAACTAAAGGAATACCTTACTAGACTGTTGTGAGGGTTAGAAATAAGATCTACCTTATATACCTACCTTCTCTTAGTCTTTCTGTGGGCAGAAGTGGTGATTTGAATAACTATAGTTAGGTATGGTTCCCTACTAGGAAGTCCCAGAGTTTTAGAATGCATTTATTAGTCATGTAGATGGAGTTACTTCCCAGGAATTTCACTACCGTGGGGTCGAGGTGGGAGACTGAGCAACGCATATTACACTGCCCACTGAGATGGGTTGCAAGCAAGGGAGACTGGAATAGGGAGACCAGTTGGCATTTGAATTAATCCAAGTGAGATAAGCAACAATTTATGAACTGTTGCACTGGCAGTGAAAATAATAAGGTTACTTTGAAAGAGGTTTTAGGAGCTGGAATTTGAAGTACTTTTTAGATTAGCTGTGTGATTGAGGAGTCATTGAGCCCTGGCTTCCTGTGTGCTTCCTTCCTGTCTCTTGGACCAGGATAATTGCAAAAGAAAACGCTGGGGTCCAAGGAGTTGTCAATTTTTTATTGTTATTTTATTTAAAAAGAACCTTTTAAAAAATCAAAACAGTATTTTGAACTGAATTCATGTTAGCTTTATAAAAACTTTACCACGTCATTTTGTGTGTGTTTTTTTTTTAATTTTTAAAAAATCTATCTTTATTGTTGAAAGTATTACAAATGTCCTCCCTTTCCCCCATTGATCCCCTCCACTCTGCACCCCTCCCCCTAGGGCTTCACTACACTGTTATCTGTGTCCATCAGTTATGCATATATGCATATAAGTTTTTAGGTTAATCTCTCCCCACCCATCCAACCACCCCTGCCTTCCCTCTGAGATCCGTCAGTCTGTTCCATGCTTCTATGTCTCTGGGTCTATTTTGTTCATCAGTTTATTTTGTTCATTAGATTCCACCTATGACTGAGATCATGTGATACTTGTCTTTCTCTGACTGGCTTATTTCGCTTAGCATAATACTCTCCAGGTCTCACCATGCTGTCTCAAAGGGTAAGGTGTCCTTTGTTTTTACAGCTGCATAGTATCAAAGGTGTAAATGTCCGAGAAGATGCTTGATATGATTTCAGTCTTCTTGAACTTGTAGAGACTTGTTTTGTGTCCTAATATGTACCACGTTGTTCTTAATGTTTTTCACTTCACTGCAGATCAGTGAAAACTTTTATCACTCCTTCACTTTGGGAAACGCTGACATAGGGAATGTACAAAAAGAACCAGCTTTTGAAAAGAAATTAAGATGTTTGGATAGTAATAATAGCCAGTATTAATTGAGGATTTATTATGTGCTAGGCATTGTCCTAAGTGTTTTGCATTTATTATATTAGCTCATCAGTATTAAGCAACTAACTTTAATGAATCAAGCTAAGTGGTTTAATTTAAGTCTGAGCAAGTTATCTGGGGAGTAGAGTATGAGAGGGTAATGAATTCTGAAGGTAATGGAGGAAGCTTTTGTGGAAGAAGTAGTATTTGATCTGAACTTTAAAATGAGTAGAATTTCAAATTTTTATGCTTGTCTATGCTTTTGTTTTTCTGTGGGTTTGTGATGCTGAGTTCCAAACTTAGAATTTAAGCACCTGGTAGATAGTAGATGGTTCTTGCTTCTTGTGGAAAACAGTCTCACTTCTTCCAAATAGAAATACTACAGAACCCAACAAAAAGCTTTAAGTTATATCAGTGAGTTAATATTTGGAGATAAAGATGTTGGAGTCTTATACTAATCCACTTGGGAAACGGTTATGGCAGAAATTCAAAGTGGCTAAAATTTTTTGGTTACCCTATGTTGAGAGAAGAATGAAATTTAGGATACCTTTCTGAACAATCCAGGAATTGAGTTTTTTCTAATGTACTGATTATTCCCTGTGATAGGAACTTCCTTTATTTATTTTCAGTTCATATTTTCCTGAATTTAATGTTCATAGTAATGGAATCTGTTTTAAGTCATTTAAAGTCATTATAGCTAGATGTTTAAGTTAGTTTTAGGAAGAGCTTGAAATGCAACCAGTGAAAGAGATATTTCAACTTAAATCTTCAACAACTCAATGAAATCAAATCTCATCTCAGACTAATCTTATAGTACCTATAAACCATGCTGTTAACCCTTAAATACAGAATGCTCCTTCATATCTGTAATGTTACATCATGCAAAAAAAGGACTTTATATATTTGATGTCTTTAATATGTTTTAATTATTTTTTATTAGATTAAAACTCCTGACCCTAAATATTGTGTTTTAATATAATGCTTTTTCCCTGTTTTCACCAGAGTTCAATGAAATGTTATTTGTTTTATTTACCAGGAAAGGCCGTTGTTTACCTTGTGGCTTTTCATCTGTTCTTTGTTATGTTTGTATGGTCCTATTGGATGACAATTTTCACCTCTCCTGCTTCCCCCTCCAAAGAGGTAAATTTAATGTTGGTAAATTGCCAAATCCTATAACTAATTATGGAATTATTTTCTCCGTGTTACCTTTGTTAAAACTTTATTATATGATGCATTTGTTCTGTTTCCATTCATGAAAGTGCTTGGTAATTCTGCATTGTGGATGTGAGTCACCAGCTTATTCTCAGGTACAACCCCCACTCACATAGCATAAAGATTAATGATGTGTTAAAGTTTAGCTATACTAATATTCTTCTGCCATGTTATATTTTCTTAAATTAAAGACATACTTTATATCACTGGGATAAAAAAGTGTTAAGGGACAGAAAGAAGTTAGAAAAGTAGGGTTTATTTTTAGAAACCTTTTTTCCCCCCTAAATATATCTTTATTGATTTCAGAGAGAGGAAGGGAGAGAGAGAGAGAAACATCAATGACGGGAGAGTCATTGATCAGCTACCCTCTGCATGCCCCCGACTGGGGATCGAGCCTGCAACCGAGGCATGTGCCCTGACCAGGAATTGAACCCCGATTGCCTGGATCCTAGGTCAATGCTCAACCACACCCGGCAGGGCTCTTTTTAGAAACCTTTTAACATTTATATTTTCTCAAGCCTGAATGAATATGCTGCAACTGAAGAGAGTAACTTGATTTTGGGAACAAATTGTCTAGGCTGTTACTTGTTACACCTTAACCTGGCTAGTGTTTCTTCTAGTTGAAGGTTCCACCGGGAAAGTAATGTGAGTGAATGTTTATGTGGACTGAGTTTCAAGACCAGTGTGCCTCTCTTGCCTTGACATTGCCTGAATTTGCCTTTACCTAAACTTTAGGTTAGCTAGATGTTTAAGAATATATTCCCGCCCGGCCAGACGTGGCTCAGTGGTTGAGCGTTGACCTGGGATCCAGGCAATCAGGGTTCGATTCCTGGTCAGAGCAAATGCCCGGGTTGTGGGCTCAATCCCCGGTGGGGGGCGTGCAGGGAGCGGCCGATCGGTGACTCTCTCATCATTGATGTTTCTGTCTCTCTCTCTCCCTCTCCTTTCCTCTCTCTGAAATCAATAAAGACATATTTAAAAAAAAAGAATATATTCCCTAGAGTTAGGATCATCTGAGTTTGGTTTTTCTGCTGTAACATATTGCTTAATGAATCTGAGCCTTAGTTTCTTATTGGAAAATGAAGTTAATAATAGTTCCTGTCTCTGTGGGATGTTTTTGAAACAATTAAGTGAGATTCACTCATGTAAAGCTTTTAATATAGTACCTGACACATGGTTAGCACTCAGATATTAGCTGATGATGACAATGTAATTATTTCTCTTCATAATAAATTCATTAATAATTATAGACCAGATGTTTAAAATTATCAACTTCCATTTAACTTTTTATAGAATAATGTATATGCAGAAAAATATATGTACAATAAGTGTACACTTGATGAATTTTCACAAACTGAACACACTTGAGTGACCACTACCCAGGTAAGAAGGGAACATTACCAGCTTCCCATAGCCTCATGCTCCCTTCCACTCACCCACTTCATATGGGAAGCCACTCCAGTAGCACTGATTAGTTTTACCTGGTTTTGTACTTCACATAAATGGAGTCATACAGGACATATACTTGTGTGTGTGGCTTCTTTCATTAACATCCTATTTGTGAGATTTGTTCATGTTGTTGTATACAGTTGTAGGTCATTCATTCTCATTATTCAGTATTTAGTTGTGGTCTATAACACAACTTATATACCTGGCCTTCTGTTGATGTGCACAGACATTTGGGTAGCTTCCAGTTTAAGGTTACTACAATAGGACTGATGTGAACATTGTGGTGCATGGACAAATGCATATACACACATACATGTATAGTTCTTTTGGGTAGATGCGTAGGAGTAGAATTGCTGGATCATAAGTTGTATATACATTTAGCATTAGTAGATAATGCCATACTTTTCTGCCCATTTTTCTTGTGTGCTTTTGTTTTAAGGGGTATTATAAACCATTAATAAAATAATGTTTCTTCAAATATATTCTTCAGTCAGCCCTTAAAGTTATGCCATCCATATCTTAATCTCTAAGTTAAAACAGACTTGATTTTATTTAATCACTAGTCTGGGTGGCTGTTGAAAACATAACATGCATGAGAGTTTAGTTCTCATTATAGGAAATAAAAAATAGAATAAGGAAAGCAATTGGTAATACTTTTAAGAAGCAGTATACTAGAGAGGTCAAGAACTCAGACTAGCTCCAAACTGCCCAGGTTCAACTCTTATCTCTGCCACTGAGCACTTGTGAGATAGCAGAGACTTTGCTTAACTGTCTGTAGCTCAGACCTCTCTGTAAAATGAGGATGACAGTAGTACATACCTATGGGATTGTTTTAAGGGTGGAATCAATTAATATATGTGATTAATAAATGTATAGTAATATATAATTAATACTATAAAGTGCTTCAGAGAATGCCTAACACAGTAAGTGCCTTCTAAATGTCACTGTCTTTTGTGGTGGTTGTTTTTGGTACATTGTACCCATTTAGCCTTCTGGCCAGGGCTTAAGCCTTTACATCCACTGCTTAACTGTTTCTCCAAGTTTAGCTACCTGTCCAGTTATGCATCTGGTGGCCCTGCTCCACACATCCTACCTTCCTTGTCGTGGCTCTGTTATCTCGTATCATAATTATGTGTTTTACTGGTATGTGTCAGCCTATTAAACTTTCAGTTTTTTGAGGGCAGGGATCATTTCTATCATGTTCTCCACTGTATTCATCTTCCCACTTTTGACCACATAGTGAGTGTTCAGTAATTACTGAATGAGTGAATTATTAAATCATTAAGGGCTAGCTAAGCTAAGCTTCCTTGATAACCAAGGACAGGAATTTAAGGTTCTCTTTCTAAAGAAGAGTACAGTGTGCTAACTGAGATACTCTTTATAAGTAATTACAAAGCTGTGATATAGGTGCTAGTGTAACTGTGTTCAAAGTACTGTTAGCTCAGAGGTTAAAGCAACAATTGGGAATGAAAATCTTGGGGAATCGAGTGGGTCTAAAAAGCAAAAACTACATTTTTAGGAAAGTTAAGTTAAAAGTATGGGTATTTTTTTCATTTTTTTTAGTCAGCAAGTACTTACTATTTACTGTTTGTCAGACTGGTAGGCACTAGGAATAAAAAAAGACAGATAGGGTCTTTATACTTAAAGGGAGAGACAGATGATAGTAAACAATTATAAATTGTGATAAATTTTTAAAAAGGAACATAATGTGGTAGAGCATACCAGTAAAAGCTATTAGAAAAAAAGCTTATTTTAGATAGCATGGTCAAAGAAGTCTTCTCTGAAAAAGTGGCATTTAAAAATGGCTGAGACCTTTATGAGTATCTCTTTCACTAAATAAGCTTTTTGAAGGAAGAATCTATGTTGTTTATTGCTGTGTCCTCATTACCTAGAATCAGACCTAGTGTATAATGGACAGATTACTAAATGCTTGAATGAATGAATGAATGAATGAATGAATGAATGAATGAATGAATGGTGAGGAAGAGGCAGCATATGAAGAGCTGGTAGGCGCCCTGCCCAGTGTTGGTAGTTAGAGCATCTGCCCTCGCACCGAAGGGGGGTGGGTTTGATCCCCAGTCAAGGGCATGTATCTGTGTTGCAGGTTCCATCTCTGGCCCCAGGTCAGGGCACATGCAGGAGGCATCCAATCAATGTGTGTCTCCCACATACATGTTTCTCTCTCTCCCCCTTCCTCCTTCCCTTTCCCCCTCTCTCCCCTCCCTGTCTCCCCTCTCCCCCCTCCCTCTCCCCTTTCTCCTTCTCTCCCCCCTCCCTT